GCCGCCGGAATTCATTGCGCCCCTCTAAGAACTATAAACAAGCGCGAGCGGAGAGTGTCGCTCGGTCCCATGAAAACAAGTGGCCGAGGGCAGCCAGGGAATTTGGTAATTCGAGAACCTTAATCGGATCGGTGTTGTGTTTCGCGGACCCGACAATAATGTTGCTACGCGCATCCGAGGCTCTCTCGCGATGCTGTCGAATATTCTTTTCGCCACGGAACATTCCCCGCTCCCCGTCAACAACGTTGCTTGCCATGTATGTAACTAATTTTCACGTTCGCGAGAATCGGAGAGCTTATGCATTTTCATAAGTGCAAATGTGATGGAGACAACGTGCAATTATCTTCGCTGAACTACGCAGGGAGCAACTTCGTAGTTTGTCGTTCATAATAATACTCGCTACAAATTATACAGTGTGTATACAATTAATCCGATCGTGTCATGAAGAATATTTAATTCTATGACGACGGTCGATAGAAATACACATAGGAAGTTAAACGGATTACATACGTGAAATCCTCGGAGTTGTATCTCGCTTAATCTGTGGTCCGTTTAAATGCGGATCATTTTAATTTGAGTTGAGTTAAGATGTTCTTCCCTGATATCAGTGACGATGTAACATTTCTTGCAATGTATTTATGCATGATGATTAAAGCGCTGAAAGCCAAATAATCTCATGACAGTTGACATTTGAAAATATTAACATTATCAGAATAGTATTTTTCAAACATTAGATTTTTTTACTGGAACGTTTTGACGAAAGTCTAAATTTATAATGTATATATTTAGAGTTATTATATGCAATTAATATGCAATTTTAGATTGCTCCTAGATAAAAGAATCTAGAATGAGAAATTCGTTGCAAGAACATAAAATTCGCGGTAAGTACTTTCGTAAATTTCGCTCGTACTTCTCGAAGCGAGGGAAATTTATACCTCTATTTCGACCAACAGTCCAAATTAAACTTGCGAAAGATCCTCAGCGCGTAAGGCAGTGGACCTTCCACGAAAGGCGAACACAATCGGGGTACATCGCGTACGAACACGTTTCCTGGCTCCGTCCAGCTTAACTGTATAGACTTTGACATTGTTACGCCCCCTTCCTAACACAATGAGAGAGACAGTAGGGATGTTTCGCGGAATTACGCACGAATAGTAAGCAGGTTAGGTTGCGCACGATCGCATTGTATCATCTTTCCCAGTGTATTATAATGCACGTTGTTCCAAACTCCTTCCAGCCTAATATAACTCTGTTTTCATAAACGCGCACTCTCGGGGCTGGAATCGCTTTGACTGGTCCAAATACGATCGCCGAAGTTTATCACCTATCTAAAATAATGCTTGTTAAATTTTCAACAAGGAATTTATAAGATATAAATTTATTAAGTGTAAATTAGTAAGTTATAATTTTGTTAATAATTTAATTATTGTCGATTGTACATATTGCTCTGTTGCACACGCATACACATCTTATTTCATGTTCTTTATATACATTTCGTATACTTTATTCAATCTCATAAATCCCAAGTTCTCTCTCTCTCTCTCTAGTTGTCAAGCACGTGGACGTAGAATACGGAAGAGCAGCAAGGGTGGCAGCTTTCTCGGCTCTGGCGACGTTTATCGAATTTTTCGCGGGGCCACTTAGATAATTCGTAGCAGGCAGGGGACTTACGTAAGAATCGATCATTCTCCGGCGTCACGAGAAATTTAATGGCTCGTGGCTGGCTGTGCGCGCGCGATCGAGAGAGAGAGAGAGAGAGTGTGTGTCTTCCCTATTGACAGATGTATGACATAGCTGGATTCGTCTCTTGCTCTATGGCGAAATAACAGGCTTAAAGTGTCTTTTGCACCCTGCAGCTAAAGATTTTTAACAATGTCCTGGAAATGCGAATTACGAGTAACGGTAGGAACAGAAAGGGGTGCGAGAAAGAAATTGGTGGCCTTGTCGACTCTTCCTTTGTTTGGGATTACAAAAGCGGCTTGTCTTTGTGCAAATACCGATGCTACAGGATTTGAGCAGAATATCTACATTGCAAACGAGAAAGTTGTTCTTTTAAGAGGAACGCTCTGTCTCTATGTTAGCTCGGGTGAAATCTAAACAATATTCTCGTGATTTTTACGCTCGAAACCATCTTGTTATAAACAAACATTTTTGTGTTTAATGTATTTTTAAATTCTTCATTCAAATGGTACTTATTTTGATACATATTTTATAATTACAGAATTTTAATTTAATGTAATGTATTTTTATTTGGTTCGCCATTTGTGATCAAACATTTCATTTCCTTCAGTTGCTTGTCAGAGTTTGCCATATGAATAAGCAAAGAAAATTAAACTTTTAAGGCAAAGTGTTAATCTTTAAATGTTCTGTGAAAAAAAATTTCTCATGGATCTTTGTATGATAAATTTTACTTGCAAATATCCAGTGTAATTTTAGTTCAACTTGCAATTAGCACAATCTTATTATCCCCTTCATTTATCTGTATTTACTGCATTTACGAGTGTTACAATTAATTATCATACTCGTACTTAAAGACCGCCCAATATTGAGTTTACGCGATAGAATAAACAAGTTAAATCCACGAAGAGAGACAACTCTCGTCTTATCTTCGCGTAGGTATCTCTATATACATACAAGAAAGACGCGTCCGATATAAATTTGAGAATTCAGGATTCATTATCCACTATGTCGATGGCGTCCAACACGGCGCCGCCCGCCACGTCGATCGATGGCTGCCGAATGCGGATGTGTCAATTTGCGATATTATGCGAAACGCGGCGTGTAAACGCGCGCGAGGACGAGCACGGGAGCGGCGGCGGCGGTGGCAAAGGGGGGAAAGTGCGGGATGAGAGAGTCATAAAATCGAGCGAAGTGAACGCCAGGAGGGAGACACTGAGTGATGTCGGTGACAGGTCGCCCGCCCTCCTCCACGTCCTCCTGCAACCGCCTCCTGTCGCTATTACTCACCGAACGCCGAATACCATTCAAAGTTCGAAACCGCACGTTCGCGACCCAATTCCTACGCGGAGTCAGCTGTTCGGTTCATTCAAAGCTCGATCGCTAGCGCCGCCGGGTGCCCGCCGCGAAAATACCGGCTAAATTATTAAAAAATAAAAGGTGGAACACGCGCGCGTGGTCGCCGTCGATAATTTCATTTACGGTCTGGTGGGTATGTGACTTGCGTTTAGACGAATGCATTAGCAGTTTTATTAAAACGTTCATTTTATATCTCTATTTTGATAAATATGTCATTGTTGTACGATTAGTGCATTTTGATAGCTATTGTTATACATGACGTTCATCTTTCGCCAGAATAATTCTAAAGGAAAAGGTATTAATAATAAAAGTTGGAGGATATAAGCACTTATAGTATGATGAGCTAGTATGTACATATGTGCAGAATTTGCTACGCCACACGCAATAAAATATGAAACACTAAATTTTTGAAACTTCGATTATAAAGTCTTTTGTTCGATATGAAAATAAATATCGTTACACAATTTCTATTTTCGATTTAATCGCAATTGACCGGCAGGAATGCCTGGACATTTTGAGATGTATATGACATATACATATGTATGTATATGTATATGTATTATGTCCAGGCATTCCTGCCGGTAGAGTGTACAAGTGACTTTAACACAATATTTAAAACGTAATAAAAGAAACATATCATATACAAATATGTTATCTTTGTGTCGATATGTAGCTGCCTTCGGCCAGCCGATGGATTTTTTTCGCCGCCGCATATACAACCTGCCGTCCGACGGGAAATGGTGACTAAAAAGATTTATTCTAAGATAAGATTATAAAGATTACAGGCCATTAGCGACATTAGTCGGTGCTTAATCCCGGTAAATAAAATATTTACCGTACACAGGTACGCCCACGAAGGATTATAATTTAGGGAGGAAACAATTGTTGAGTTAGGATCAGTTCTAATTCCGTAAACTGGGATCAATAGGAATTTGTTCAGGTGGCTGCGTTTGTATTTCATAGAGGAACAGCCTGCAGCGGATTCTTTCTCTCTCTCTCTCTCTCTCTCGCTCTCTCTTTCTCTGCCAAGACCACTCGCCATGCTGACTGTCAGTATTATCCTGCGTTCGCGCGCGCGCGCGCGAGCGCGCATGACCGTTCGGTTCGATCTGTCGAGCCACCGGTACGAGCAGTTCTAAAAGTGCAATGTCAAATTTTACGCTGTTTGTCCCGCGTCGATCACCGACGGCACCTCCGCGCGAAGTGCTACAGTCAGTCGTATTAATACTCACGTCAAGTTCGCTCCAAGTCAATGAAACTGTAAAATTACTCACGTTTCACGTATTCCCGTTCTTCCTCCCTCTTTATTACGTACCTTTTCATAATAAAAAAAGGCACGAACCGTTTGCCGATACGTTTAAATTAGAATATCGATCGAACTGTATCAATGTCAAATATATATTATTGAAACTTGAAAAATCTCTTTGGAGTCGTGTTTCTGGTAGCGAGACTCGAAACCGAACGCGGAGTCGTGCATTTTTCCCCGGTTTTCTTGTAACAGCCTCGAAGGCCAGGAGAAGCCGGGAAACGCGAGGGAAACGCCTCGGTCGACCGCGCGCCAGCGTGGAATTGGAGCGATGGAGTCTCCCGATCCACGTATCTCGCTGTATTTCGCGAATGACGCTCTCTCCCGCTCTCGTCCTAGCCATGGCGTCCTCGTCGTCATCGTCGCCGCCGCCGCCGCCGCCGCCGTCGTCGGTCGTCGTCGTCGTCGTCGTCGTGGTCGTCGGCGTCGCCGGCGTCGTCATCGCCCGTCGGCGGTCTCGTTGGTAGTGGTGTAGCGATGGCGGAGGATCCCGTAGTTCGCGGTCCCGCCGGCGCGGCGCTGCGGCCGCGCGCGCTCTCGCCCGGGTTCCCGATAGGCGGGCACTGCCGGCGCATTGGCCGCTCGCCGGTGGGCGTGTCGCCGGCGTCTCCCACTCCCGCGCTACGCGCGGCGCTGATTGACAGTTGGCGAACGACTGCGGACGGCGCAGGATCTAAAATCGCGCTAGGCGCTGCTCTCCACGCTGCGCTACGCGCTCCGCTCTTCTCTTTTACTCCGTGTGGCCGATCTACAAACCTCCGGCGTCCGGCTTTTTCGTGGGGGGGAAACCCTGAAACACGCATATCCCCGTGGCTTGCCTTTCGACCGCGCGGCCCGCTGCTAAACGTGGGTAACACACTACGGAACCCTATACCGCCTTCTGTCCGCCGGAGTTACCGAGTGCCACACGCAGTAGTAGTCACGGTCAGGGAGGAGGGTCGCCCGCCGTGTCGTCTCTCGCGCGCTCGGACAGTCTACACGCTCGTCGCGCGGTGTCTCCTCTCTCGGTTCGCGCGCGTGCACCGTACACCGGATCCTGCGGGTCTCACATCGCGATATACCGTCGCGTCGCGTCGCGTTCACATCTCGCGTTCGTCTTCGCCCTCGTCGACGTCGCGCGCGCGACAGATCGTCGTTCCGAAACGAAACGTGAGCGCGCGCGCGCGCGCGTGCGGGGGGCCGCCCGGTGTTAGAATCCCGTGCGGCGACGTGTGTAAAGGCGGCAACCGCGGAGCGCCCGGAGGTAACGTATATCTCTCTCGCGCGGAGAAAACAACGCCGCGCCGCGCGCGGGTCGTGGCAACGCCGCCGCCGTGCCGTCGCGCACCGTGTGCGTCACGCGCCGCGCGTCTTTTCGCCGTGAAACGCCGGAACACCCGCGCGAAGGTGTGCGAGCGGCGCAACGGTGAATAGTGCTCGCGTCGTGGCGCCCGTCGTCGTCGTCATCTTCGTCGTCGGGCGTCATTGTGGCCGTTGCTCTCTCTCTCTCTCTCTCTCCCCCTCCCCCCCTCCACCCATTGATACCTCAGTGAACTCGGAGAGAATGTAAACGTGGTTCTGTCAGTGAACATCGTCGTCGTCGATCGGTGATCATCGGTTGTGTGTCGAAACAGTGAAGTAGAACCCGGGACGTCTTTCTCGAAAGCGTCACGTCGCGTCGCGTCGCGTCGTGTGCCCCCGCGTGTGCACCGGATGTGAAGGAGAGTGGACAGAGAGCGACTTTGCGCAGCGGATCTCCCCGAGAAGAGGTACCTCACGGATCGTGTCTCGATGCGGCACTCTCGGCTGCCAGGCCTCGCGAACAACGCGACGCTCTAGGTATTTCCTCTCCCCCTCTCTCTCTCTCTCGCCGAGATAACCTCGCCAGTTGTTGACACCGCGTTGCGGAGGTCAAACCACGTGCCCGAGCGTAAGCTCCCGTCGCCTGTGACATGCGGGATTGACGAGAGGAGTCTCTCGCTCCTAACACCCCGAGTTGGTGCTCCCAGAGTACACCTGTGTTATCCAGGACGTCCGAGGTGGAGCGTCGCTGCGACGATGATGAGGAAGCACGCGCAGCCGGGCCCAGCCGTCGCCGTCGTCGCCGTCGTACGAGTCCTACTACCGCAAACGTTACCCGCCGCCGCCGCCGAGCACTGCTGACAACGCACGTCCGCGACAGTTTGAATTTTGAGCGTCGGGCCGCCGCCGGTTTCGTCTCCGAACGACGCCGTTCTCGCGTGTGGTGCGTGTATGTGTGAGTCTCGGAGAATACAGAGGACGAGACAACAAAAGGGAAAGGATCCCGCGAAGAGAGACCTACGGAGAGAAAACGGAGAGAGTGACAGAGCGAGAGAGAAGGATCGGCAAGCGGAGAGCGGAAGCGGAGCAGGCCGACGGGCCGGCGATTGTCGAAGCGGAGTGGCGTCGGTCCGCGCGAGTGACGGCGCATCCCGACGGCTGGCTTCAAAAGGAAGCGGAGGAAGAAGGCGGTTGAACCTCGCAGCGTGCCGTCGGCCGCCGACGGAGCCCGGAATCCGGTGCGCCACGAATCCATCTCGTCGTCCTCTTTTTCCCGTCGGACGAGACGACCGATCTCATATCTTTCTTTCTCTCCGTGCCGTGAAAGCCGAGCGTCACGCAGCGCGTCCGAGCATTAAGCTTTAGCGCGCGCGCGCTACAACAGTGCCGAGAAAAAGTGTAGTGAAGTGTCGAGGCTCGCTTGCTTACATTGTGGGAAAATACAGCCGCTACGGTGGCTCAGCACGCAGAGTTCCCCGGCGCGGCCAGGGCGTTCATGGCGCAGCCAAGGGTATGTTTCAACCTGCACTTGCAGCACTTTTGCACTCACCTTTTTCTCCGATTCGGTCGGCGATGCGATCGATAGGAGAGACGAAGATAATTCCCCCCTCCCTCCCAGGTTCGATTCCGAAATACGGTGCTCGAAAGAGAATCTTGTGACCTTTCTCGGAAAGATGACGTAACATTGCCAGAGTGACGGGAAACCACGAGGATGTCGCGTGTACGTTCCTTCGCGTATTTTTGCGGAGTGCTCTAAAAATGTCCCGATGAAAGTTTCACGAGACTCGAAATGCCGTTGGGAAAGTTTTACCTTTTTCAAATTTCGCGTTTTTAAAAAGAATATTCTTGAAAGTGCGGAAGTGATCGATTGTCCGTCCGTTTATAAACGCGCGCTTGCGATTGGCCAACAGGATTTTTCGTGAGTTTTCGTGAATTATGCTGCCATGATTTTTCCTCGACGATTTCGTATCCGGTCCTAAAAGTCAGCGTCGCGCGTGAGTCTGTAAAAACTAAAAACGGTGCCCCTCTCTCTCGCTGTGCTGCGTCGCGTCTCGATGGAGGCGAGGAAAGTTTCGTTCGGACGCGCGCGAGTCCGCGGCCGGTGAATTTGAATTGAATATCGACGCCGTGTCGAAAGGGGAATTTACATGTCGTCCGCCTCGGCGCTTTGTAACGTCGCGCTTACAACGCGTTGCGACGGCGACGAAGAAAGAGAAACGACATACAGTTTGCGCAAAGGGGGGGCTGGCTATCGGGCTCGCCGTGAGCGAGCTTCTTACTCAGGCGCGAAATTCGCGCCCGTGTCATCGGCACCCCGCCGATTCGTGAGGGTCGCGAAAGAAAGAAGAGAGAGAGGGAGAGAGGGGTCCGAATGAAATTTGCCGCGAGTCTGGCGGGCTCGTTTCGTGTTGTCGATTACACGCGTCGTAATCGGACGACTTTGACCGCGCGGCGTAATTACGAGCGATAATCATAGCGCAACACCGGGGAGTAAATTTCCTCTGGCCTCGATTGTGAGAGTCGCGACGATGCCTCGCTGAGCCTCCACCGAGCCAGCAGAGTCGTGCGGGAGATTCGAGAGGATCCCCGAATAGGGATCCGTCTGTTGAATATTTACGCCGTGATCGTTTCGGAAGACTCGCCGCGAAGAATTCTCTGACTGATTTCAGGCACGCTCGCGCTCATCTCCCGTAGGCCGAGTATTCACCCCGGGATCGCGCATTGTTTCCGAATATATAATATGTCTTTAGATTGTCTTTAAATCGCGTTTCACGCGCGGATTTATACGCGCGGATTTCGAACGGAGAGAGCGTTTCGATTGGATTTCAGAAGCAGCGCGGAGTTTGATAATTTTCATTCGCTTAGGGGCGCGACGACAAATGCATATGGCGTTACGAACGCTTAATTAAAACAAGCGGCGAGTTGACATTTCGTTGTTGGTTCTCAATGATGAAAGGGCATCGCCGCTCCGAAACGCGTTTCCATTCACCGTGTCTCGTAAACATTTCTAACGTGTCAAAAGTTAGGCGTATTATTTCTTCATTATTCACCATTAACGTGATAAATAATTGCGATATTGTCCCGGTAATGGATAGTTGTCTATGATAATTTAATTAAGTGTCATTGAAATCCCCTTTTTACAATTTGAACGCCAGGAGTGACACGAACTTAATGAATCATGTTTCAACAAATCTGAGGCACTATAGTAGCACTATAGTATACTGTATTTAATAATGCAAGTGTTATTCCCTTTCGCATTATGAGATTCCCAAAATATTCTTTTATTCGAATAAAAGCTAAGTACATAAAAGTCTATTTCAGCTTTTTATCTAATTATTTTCAGTTTAGTACGATCATATCTAATACTCTAGCGTCGACGTAATATTCATCTGAATTTTGAATTAAAAATTTGCCGCGTCACACAGAGACCGCAAAATTTAGTGTATCTCTTTTCGAAGAATTAATCAGGCTTCGCGTCGTCTGCGGTTTCTTGTTCACGCGACGGTCAAATGCGACGAGCTGCGGGACAATAGCCTCGTTACAGCCTTTTGCAATCGCTTACGTGAAATCTGTCAAAAAAATCATATGCACGCATTTAAGTTCAAGCGCGATTTGTGTATTTAATGCGCGTCTAATGGAGAAAAATGTAAATTCAACTATTGCATTCTTTGGATACTTGGATCGGTATAAGTAATTTTTTGAGATCAGTTAATGTTAAATATTTTATTTACATATTTTCGCGTTGATCCGTGCTTGCTGTTCTTCGTGGTTACGAGATTCTGCCCGTCGGACGTAGGTAACGTGTTCCTTTCTCTCTCTCTCTCTCTCTCTCTCTCTCTCTCTCTCTAATGTGTTTTTCGGCTCTTGGTACTCTTAAATGCTTTAAATAATCATGTAAATTTAATAATTGTAATACTAAAATAACGCGCGAAAGAAGTTTTAATTCTTGCCTTTACATATCGTGACATATTGATAGAAGAATCTTTTACCTTTCATATCATATTGAGTAAGTAACAAATCACATTTTCAAAGTAGATCGCTGCAAATCATGATATCCAGCTTCCACGAAGAGCAATTGATATTCATGTCTTTTTTAAATGTTTTTACGATAGAATTGACACATTATGGATTAATGTTTGAAATCTATTCTAAAAAATATGGTTTTTTTTTTTAAGTTGTGCCCGAGTTGTTTTGCCGATGCGAGATATCGGCCTATTCCAACATTTTTCTCGTTTTATGCAAATACGAAATACTTAGTGAACTCGTTTTAATCCGCGAAATGAAAGACTTTGGCAGATTAAGTTCGATCGCATTGACACTTCTCGATCATTCAATGCGCGGTGCTAAACAGGCCGTATTGATTCCGATAACTGAATCCATGCGAAAGCAGTGCTTCTCGCGCGCCGATAACTACTCCCATGTTTACACGTTTCACACATGTGGCATTGTGATGCGATTCACATGTGACCTTTTTTGACCACAGTCTCTTTTGTTGCCCAACTTTTGATGGGATACCGACGAAATCTTTTCGCATACTTACTTCTGCTTCCATACCGCTCAGTCAGTTCCGTTAATAGAAACGAAAATTTAAATTGGTACATAATTTTGGCTTCCTCAATTTTTGGAGCTACACGGAAAGAACGGTTTTGCTGGAGTGTCTAAAAATTTAGCTAGATACAGATCTGAAAATAATTTTGTTGCAACATCAAAATAATTATAGTAGGTCGCTGATTATGCTGTAAACAATTTCGACATTTCAGCAATCAGTTTGAGTGTTCTTCATAATTATTTTGATGGTCTAACAAAATTATTTTCAGATCTGTATCTAGCTAAATTTTTTTTTACTTCAGCGAAACCGTTCTACCCGTGAGAAGTATGGGAAAGAAATGTATCTTACGTTGATTTTCACGTTTCCGTCGCCAAGAATAAATGTTCTGTAATGCGTCCTCAAGGTGTCAAGTGCGTTTCGTCCTGAGAACAGTTTCCGAGTAAACCGGATATAATGAGTATTGACAATTTCGGGCAAATAATACGTTCGCGTCTGGTACCGGCGTGTCTCAATCGCAGCCGAGTCGTGCAGAGTCGATCCCAGCGATGCGCTTCTTACCGCTCAATTCCGCTTCGGCATCCCGTCGCTCGGTCCCGGTTTGCGCTTGCAAAATTGCCGAAACGTGCGTGCGTGTCTGCTTCAATGGCAATCGCAAACCTCTTTTGCGTGCAGCGCGGAGAATTCTTCGCGATGGTAGATCGGAGAAAGCGGTCGTCTACGGCCAAAGCTCGGGTCCCTGACAGGTGAATTTTTTTTCAGCGACTTAACGCTCCGTCGGAGGTTGCAAAATATCGATGATATACGATAAGTATTTTTGCTAAATGCGCGATTGCCGAAGGAACAACGAGAGTATCTGAAAAAAATCTTTACCTGCCTGCGAACGATGACAGGTATCCGGGAATTCAAATGGCCACGATAAGTATCAAATTTATTCGGGATTACTGGCGATTTTTTCCGATTTTTAAGTTTACTTATTTTGTGCTCCTCTACATATGGCTTGTTCCAAAGATCTACCGATATTTATTTTAAGGAGAAATGTGACAGTGCCATTTACAAACAAGTTTTTGTCGCTAGGAACGAACATCGGTAATCACAGTCCTGTTTTAATTTCTACTTATTTTTCTAAATTTGCCATTTTTATTACTTTGACATGTCCTTATTTCCTCATTTGTGTTTCTAATCCTTCTGAACTTTGTCCCGGCGGAAAGTTAGCGAGCGATCGAGAGTCAAGCAGCATTTAGGAATTTGAACGAGCTAGAAAGGTGTGCGATCGCGTTTCGCATGAGCGGTGTGGAAATTCACGTAACCCGATAGCGCATTTCGGATTAAAAATTCCGACCGCCGCTGCGCTGCGCGAGGGAATGGCGGACGCGGGGCTCTCTTGGACGACGAGGACCCGATTTTTCGTCGTCCGTCGGCGCTGTACCGCCGCGCCGCCGAATGAGCCCGTGATTATGTATTTATGGGCATCCATCAATCACTTTCGCTCTCCCGATTGCGGATATCGGCCTTTAGCCTACGGATTAAAGTCGTATCGATTTCTCGCCGTTCCCCATTGGCCGTGCGCGCCCGCGTCGCGTCGCCGGCCGTTTTTTTTCCTCTTTTCGTCTGGACAGTCGTTAGGCATATTCATGCGCGAGATAAATGGGGCCCAACTCGGCTCGGTGCCCGCGATTTAGAGCCGCATGGTGGGCGCCGCTCCGATACGAGCCTAATTCTGTTTTCCGAAAATATGCCCGTAGTCAGAGTGCGACCGTTCAAATGCAACCATAAACTTCCTGTCAAACGCCTCTCAGATGCACGAAATAGCTTTACCGGTGAACGACTCAGAAATTGTGTCTCTCGCGTTGTGGCATGCGTCTGATACCTTCGAAATACAATATTCTCACATCTCACAAATTATCAAGACGATGCGGAAAAGAAAACGTTTAAATTTACCAACTTGCAATAGAAAAGAAGTA